GGCCAAAGGCCCATCCAGTCCAACACTCTGTGTCACACAGTGGCCAGAAATACCAGTGCCATCAGGAGGTCCAGCAGTGGGGCCAGGACATTAGAAGCCCTCCCACTGTTGACCCCCCCCCCAAGCACCAAGAAGACAGAGCATCACTTGCCCCAGAGCCCCTAGCTATACCTTGTGGCTAATAGCCACTGATGGACCTCTGCTCCATATGCTTATCTAATTCCCTTTTGAAGCCGTCCATGCTTGTAGCACCCACCACTTCCTGTGGCAGTGAATTCCATGTGTTAATCACTCTTTGGGTGAAGAAGTACTTCCTTTTATCCGTTCTAACCCGACCGCTCTGCAGTTTCATGGAGTGCCCACGAGTTCTTGTATTGTGAGAAAGGGAGAAAAGTACCTCTTTCTTTACCTGCTCTTTCCCATGCATAATCTTATAAACCTCGATCATGTCACCCCTCAGTCGTCTTTTCTCCAAGCTAAAGAGCCCTAAGCGCTTTAACCTTTCCTCATAGGGAAAGTGTTCCAACCCTTTTATCATTCGAGTTGCCCTTTTCTGCACTTTTTCCAAAGCTATAATATCCTTTTTAAGGTGTGGTGCCCAGAACTGCACACAGTATTCCAAATGAGGTCTCACCATTGATTTATATAGGGGCATTATTATATTGGCTGATCTGTTTTCAATACCCTTCCTAATAATCCCCAGCATAGCATTGGCCTTCTTTATTGCAGTCACACACTGTCTCGACATTTTCAGTGAGTTATCCACTACAACTCCAAGATCTCTCTCTTGCTCAGTCTCTGCCAGTTCAGACCCCATCAATGTGTATTTATATTTAGGATTTTTGGCTCCAATGTGCATCACCTTGCACTTGGCCACATTGAACCCCATTTGCCATGTTGACGCCCACTCGCCCATCCTTGACAGATCCCCTTGGAGTGCCTCACAATCCTCACTGGTTTTCACCACCCTGAACAACTTTGTATCATCTGCAAATTTAGCCACTTCACTGCTTACTCCCATCTCCAAATCATTAATGAACAAGTTAAAAAGCAGTGGACCAAGTACTGATCCCTGCGGTACCCCACTGCTTACCACCCTCCACTGAGAAAATTTCCCACCTACACTCACTCTCTGTTTTCTATGAACTAGCCAGTTTTTGATCCATAAAAGGACTTGTCCTTCTATCCCATGATTTTTGAGCTTACTTAGGAGCCTTTGATGAGGAACTTTATCAAAAGCTTTCTGGAAGTCAAGGTAAATAATATCTATTGGATCCCCCTTGTCCACATGTTTGTTCACCCCCTCAAAGAACACTAACAGGTTAGTGAGACAAGATCTTCCCTTACAGAAACCGTGCTGAGTCTGCCTCAATAGGTTTTGTTCATCTATGTGCCTACTAATATAGGTTTTGTTCATCTATGTGCCTCTTTGCAGCATCGGACTTTCCTTTCACCATCAGACACATCCACAACTGAGCGTCCTTTTGGCTTTGGCCCAGCCGCTTCACTCTTTCTGGGGTTACTTGTACTTGTCCTCTGCTCTTCCTCAGTAGCATATTGGAAACCTTCTGACCTGAGGGGCTCATCTTCCGGCGTCATATCTTTTAGCCTTTTGATACTGTCCATGGGGTTTTCTTGGCAAACATACTGGAGTGGGTTGCCATTTCCTTCTCCAGGTGGATCACGCTTGGTCTGAGTTCTCTGCTGTGGCCTGTCCGTCTTGGGTGGCCCTTCACGGCATAGCCCACAGCTTCATTGAACTGCGCAAGCCCCCTCGCCACGACAAGGCAGTGATCCATGAGGGGGCTTTGCCTTGTATGCAATGTTCCCTCTAAGCTGTAGAGTCCTGTGAGCAAAACTTCTACTTTGTGAGCTACTGGTGTTAAAGTTGTGAGCAAGCGATTTGGCTACTGCATAAATTAGTTTGCTCTGAAGCCATCCCTCCTGAGCTGAGACAAAAATTTGTGAGCCAGAGGCTAAAAAACTGTGAGCTAGCTCACACTAACTCAGCTTAGAGGGAACACTGCTTGTATGATCTGCCAATAAAGGCCTCTCTCTTGGGTGGCACAAAAGGCAACATCTGAAAGCCATGGAGTGTGCTTTGTGTAGGGGATGAAATAAGAAACCCTCGTACTAACTTTAACAGATTCCGGCAATTGAGAAACTCATTGTTTGCTCTGGATATAGCCACATCCTGTATGTGGTTATGGATTTAGGTGCTTCACTCTTAAAGCTGTAACTTTAAGACAGGAGTGTCAAGACCTTGAGTTTTATAGAAACAGTTTCCCTACTGCTGGGATAACATTTAGATCATCTGGTCATATCTGTTGGGGCCATATCAACGAGCTTTTCTTCTGAGAACTGGCACTCTCCTTTATAGGATGCTTATTCTTTTTTATTTTTTATTGCTTTTCTAAACTACACAGCTATAGGGTTTGGAGACGGGAACAAACTAAAACTACAAGTAGCAAGAGATTGTTAAGACAGTTGTTTAAAGGAAGGATAATTCCCTATTGTCAAAGTAGTAATACATGAGAGTTAATACAATAGTTATATAAAAGATTGAGCGAGTGTTCACAAACAAATTTGGTTAGAGTATATGCTTCTTAAAGGTAAAGGTTCCCTTGCTCGAAAGCCAGTCGAATCCGACTCTAGGGATACGGTGCTCATCTCCGTTTCAAAGCCGAAAAGCCAGCGCTGTCCGAAGACGTTTCTGTGGTCATGTGGCCGGCATGACTAAACACTTCTTAGTTCAGGATTATTAGTTATAGGATGCTGTGACGACCTCTTATTTGGGGAGGTCTAGTTTTCCTTTCAAATGTTCTTTCAGTTTCACTCTGTAGGGTATTCTGGCTGCCACCAGGGAAATTTAGGCTTTCCCAACCTTTTTCTATAATATTTTTTACAGGGTAGGTATACCGAGGGTTTTAGGCGTTCGTGGCACTATGTGGTCTGAGGAAGGATTCTTTACTGCTGGTATACTTGAAGGAAATAGGATTTATTTAAAGAAAGCATAAAGACGAAGGTAAACAATGTGAACAGAACTGGGAATGATTTGAACCATGGCTTGGTGTCTCTCACAAGCCTCTCTCCACTGACAGGGATATTTCATAGGCAACTTTGTAACACTTTTCACTGTACTTTTTCCTAGACTCTCAGCTTTTAATTTTAACTCCTATAACACAGAACTAAATGTCACTCTTTTCACACACAGGGCTGAGTCTCCTTCAACTCCGAGACAGCACTTAACTGACTTCTGCTTCTCTCACAGAAATCACACAGAACAAAACTCCTATTAACTGCTTTTACACAGCACTCTCTGCTGACTGCCTAACTGTTTAACTGTCATCACTCTTAACAGTCACTCCTGATAGACATACAAATCCTCCACACAGCATCCATTCCAAAACCCCTCCCCCTCTCTGTCACTCACCAATCATATCATTTGCCTGCTTCCAGCACCCTAGTCTGTCATACATCCATACAAACCAAACTTTTAAAGACACACACACAAATAAACATGAAATCGCCACAGATGCTTATTCTGTAGTCCAGTAGCACCTTTAAGACTAACAAACTTTATTGCAGCATAAGCTCTTGAGAAACACAGCTCTCTTTGTCAGATGCGCTGAGGGTGTGAGGAAACTGGCCAGAGATATATAGGTTGTGAGGGGAGGGGGGAGAGGATGCAGAAGGTGCCATGTAAATGCAAAGCAGTTGCAAAAGTCATGAAAAGGGTTTTCAACTTTTTAGACAACCGGTGTCACCCCCTTTTTTTTTGTCAGGCGGCATTTAATACCATCCAGAAAGCGCATACCCTAGGCTCCCCAAATTTGCCTTGTCAATTAGTTAACGGAATTTATTTTGGATCTTGAAATTGATTTAAAAACCAACAGACTGATGGCTTGAACAGGCTTTTCCAAGATGGTACCTATTGTAAAATCTGACCATCATCTAAACACAATGCTTTTGTCTTCACAATGATGTCTTATTGATATGTAAATATATGCAGATTTTTAATCACTTAATTACGATGTTTTGTATGCAGGCAGGCAAGCATCAGCTTTGACACCATATTTCCTGTTGCCAACTAGAGGAATTATGGAAAAATGCAACACAAGGAAACAGGCCATTAAAAAAATATATTAACATTATTGTGCATTTATTTGCATAAATTAGAAAAGATATGGCTTAAGGGCTGACAGAGCCCCAGCGTCACTGCTGGTTGCTAACTGTATCTGATTCCATTATGAAATTTTATGAAAAGGCATAACTCAAGTTGATTCCCTGTGACCACTATGAAGATTGTGGAAAAGCACGTTTATTTTAAAGATTTATTTAAAAGATTAACCTAGTCTTTCTGTTTAAAATATCCACGGCAACTCACCATAATAAAATGTATAGTAAAACCTTGGATAAAGCTCACCTTAGAGAAAATCATTAACAGGGGACTACAGAGGAGGATTCTGGGAAAAACAAACAAGAAGCTGGCCAACCTGAAGGACTATGGGAAATCACTGGCCAAGGTCGGTCAATAGGATGAGTTTCATCCTATCCAGAACGCCCATCCAGAAAACCCATACTTTTTTGTATTTATCGACATGAATAAATTGATGTTTTATTTCATTTCTAAATTTCTGTACGTACATGTCACTCATCTTTTAAGTACTCTTCTACCCAGAACCACCCAATCCCGACAGAAAGCGCCTGGACACAACTCTTCCAGCCCCCACCGTCAGACCGCCTCAAGGTGCAGGGGTGTTTTTTTTTTTTAACCTCCGCTTGAGGTCCCGCCCCATCGGCCAAAAGAAAACCGTTAACCGCCTCCCGCCTCCCTTCCTTGTCATTGGCTCTCCCTCCAGCCCATCATCCGCTCCCGCCACTCCTATTGGCCGCGGTCGCGCGAGATCTCCGAGGAGGCCCAACCCAGGGCATGGCAAGGAGGGCGGCGATAGGAGGAGAGGCTGTATATCACTTCGGCGGGGCCTCTCCCCTTCTTTCTCCGCTCTCCCGTCGCGGGCCCCGCCCTCCGCTCGCCTCGGTGCCTGTCAGCGAAGGGATCGGCTCGGCGCGCCTCGGCCCGGCCTAGTCCGGCCTCCTCCTCCGCGGGGCGGAAACCGGAGAAAGACAGACACCCCCCTCCCGTGAGGGAAGGAGCGAAGGCCGCGTCGCCATGGGAACCCGCGACGACGAGTACGACTACCTCTTCAAAGGTAGGGCTACGGGCCGAGGGAGGGGGCATGCTTATAGTTGGGGAGGGGGGGTGGGGGGGGGGGGGGGAAGGGCATGGGGGGGAGTTGGAGGGGAGCGTGGGAATGGAGGGGGGCGAAGTATTGGGAGGGGGGTCGGAAAGAGGGATCCTGGGAGTGGAGTGGCCTGGGAAAGCATGGGCATGACCTGAAGGGAATCCAAAGAGGGGGAATTCAGTGTGTGCGTGTGGGGGGAACCCCTGGAAAGTAAGAGGGGCCAGAAGGAGGGAGGGAGCAGGGGAGGTGGAAGGCCTTGGAGTTGGGGGAGGAGGGGGTTTTGGGAAAAAGAAGGGGGCTTAAAAAGAAAGATTGGGGGTTGGAAGGCGAGGAGGACGGGAGATCAGGGCCCCTGGGAAGCTAGAACAGGGGTTGCCAAATTTGTTTTAAGGTAAGAGCCACATAGAATAAACGTTAGAAGTTTGAGAGTCGCAAGACCTGAACAAATATTACATGTTTTTACTGGGAAACATGTGGATTTGCTTTTCATTAGCGTTAAAGGAGACTGCCCAAGAATAATAACGAAAGCGGTAAAAGCAGGTATTGATCGTGATATTTATTTGTCCGATGATAATTTGTTTGCTAATGATATTCCCCGGTTGCCCTGACAGGAGCCGCACAGCATGTGTGAAAGAGCCGCATGCGGCTAGCCACAGTTTGGCCACCCCTGGGCTAGGAGATGGACTGTGGAAGAAGAAGGGACTTTGGGACATTGTGGGTGCGTGGGTTGGAAGGGATCTCAAGGAGAAATGGGGTTTGGTAGGGGGGTTGGGGTGGGATAGGGGGAACTGCCAACCTAGCAGTTCGAAAGCAAGAAATTACAAGTAGATAATTCGGTGGGAAGGTAACAGCGTTCTGTGCACCTTGGTGTTTAGTCATGCTGGCCACATGACCACGGAAACGTCTTCGGACAGCGCTGGCTCTTCGGCTTTGAAATGGAGATGAGCACCGCAACCCTAGAGTCGGACTCGACTGGCTTTCGAGCAAGGGAACCTTTACCTTTTTTAGGGGGATGTGGGACTTGGAAAATGGGAAGGGAGCTGGGAGAGGACCCATGGTGGGAAGGGGGCTGGAAGGGGGGGGCTTTAGAAGGAGGAGGACACGAACATGGATGGGGCTAGAATAGAGTAGGTATTGTGAAATTAGGAGAGCTGGGGGCATGAGAGTTAAAATGTCGGTTTAGGAGGTTGATGGGGGGGTGATGAGAAAGGAGTGGGTGCTTGGAAAGGCCATGGGAACTACTGTGGGCGCAGTGATTAAAATGAGTGGGGGAGGGTATGGGGAACAGGTTGCTTATGTACATTTCCTACCATTTGCCAGATTTTCTACTTGCTAGCCCCTTTGGAAGCATATGTGGCATAAAACCTTAAATGCGGGGATTGGGAAACTGGGGGGGGGATTTGAAGGGGCAGTGGTATTGACAGGTTTCCTTGTGTATGAGTATGCATACGTGCAATTTTGGGGAGGATGTATGTATGAGGGGTTTGTAAGGAGTTTGAGGGCTGGATGGCCGCCTTTTGGAAAAGGAAAATGAGATGGGGAGTGATGGGGGCCGGAAGCCTGCTGTGGGTGGGGGAGGGTGCTGGAGTTTGAAAATGGGCTTGAGAGGGGTTTAACAGCCTACAAATTTCTCTGGGCCACTTTTCTTCTTCCCATTACACTTGCTACCTTGTGCAGCAATGATCATCCTGTCAGTTCTTGAATTGTAATCTGCATCATGTGTTAACCTGCCAGGACCAAAATTGGTAACTTGGGACCCCTATTAACTTGTGCAGGAAAGCTGTTTAATTCTTGTTTAAAAGTACCCCCCAATGTAATTATAAATGCTTTTGGAACTTGGAAATTGTTTCTGAGAAGCAGTTATACTTTTGGGTCTGGGACTGCTACAAAGGGAAGATTTGGGAACAAATAAAAAAGCAACACAACGTAGCTTGGAGCTACGACACAGTCCACCAGTTGTGTGTGGCAGCCTACTGAGTTTCTGGTGACCCCCTTCTGTCTTTGGAGTTCCCAGCAAAAAACAATTCTGAACTTCAGTCTGCAAGTTAAAAACCATATAAAAGGTTCCCAAACAATAACAAACTGGTTTAGATTGAAGGATGGGAGACAAACTTTCATTTTGGGTTTAGCCAGATTCACAATTTTCCAGACCTTTTCAACCCATTTTTTTACTGAGAGATTTTTTAGAAACATGCCAGATTTTGGCTATCTTTATTTTCCACAGCTGTTTACAAATCAGTAATCATTGGATGTCTCAAATTGGGAACAGTGTTTTGCACATATCCTAGCAACGATATTTTAGGGTCTTTAGGTAATTATATGCCTGTCATATGTTCAGCTTGATTTAAAGTGATTGTCCATACATTGGAGACAACTGGACATGTCCTCCATACGTGGACATAGTCTCCCTTTCCAACATTCATCCATTTTATCCTTAAAAGCGGGTGGCTACCTGTATAGATATGCCACAGCCAGTGTGATGCATTGCTCAGAGCTCTCTTTAAAGCAGCCTCTGTTTGCAACTTCATACCAGACGGACACTTGTTGGATGATCTTGGGCAAGTTAGGCATACGAGTGACTTGCCTCAGGCCATGTGTTCAATGTGTTTTGTCTTTTAAATGCTTCTTTGCCCACCTGGTTGGTTATATTGCTAGTGCTGGTGTTCATCCTTTCTGCTAACAGAACGTTTTCAAAAGGACAAGTATTTCTGTTAAGAGGGAGACTGCTAGGCAAAGGCCAGGAGGTTACGTTCCAGGCTGATTTCCCTCATCGGGATACCCTTCTCGTGCAGCTTAGTGTGGCACAAGGAGGGAGGCAGGATGTACCGGGTCAAAGTTCCTGTTGGCAGGGAATAAAACATATTGCAGGGCATGAGTAAATGAATTGAGACACAACACTGCCTAGTAGCCAGTCAGACCTGTGGGAAAATTCCTCCCCAGCCCAGATATGGTAGTCATGTGTCTCTTGTAACTGATTTAGCTGATTAAATAGTAGTTTTCAAAGATTTTCATGGGAGCGGGGGACAGTTTCAGACAAATGGCCTCCCACTGGTAAAACTGGCATGCGGAGGCATAGGGCTTTAGCATAAAACTCCTTTGTTGTTCAGTTGCACAGTCGAGTCCGACTCTTCGCAACCCCATGGACCAGATCCTGCCAGGCCCTCCTGTCTTCCGCCGTCCTCTGAAGTTGGCTCAATTTCATGTTCGTTGCATCTATGACACTGTCTAACCATCTCATCCTTTGCCGTCCCCATTTTCTTTGACCTTCAATCTTTCCCAGCATCAGGGTCTTCTCCAGTGAGTGCTCCCTTCTCATTTGGTGGCCAAAGTATTTGAGCTTCAGTTTCATTATAAAACTCCTGTCACTGATTAAATTCTAGCCCTCCCTTGCATTTCCCACCAAAAGCCTCTTTGTATTTAACGGTCCTGGGCTGACTCATGCAGATCTGTTCTGGTGGCAGTGGCATTTTCCTGTGGCACAAGGAGCCTTCCTCTAAAGGAAGAGGGCAGGAACGTATGAGTGCTAGAGCAGGGTCGAATCCCCATGTGCTTCCAGAAGGCACCTGAGTTGTTTTCCTTTCCCTTGGAATGATGATGTATGCGCAAAGAGCGCTCAACGCTCTCTGCAGGTGGCACTGGTTTGGCATGGAGCTGGTAAGCTTGGAAGTGCATTTTGGTCAGTCCAGAGGGGGTTGTACTGGAGGTCATATTGAGGGTGATCACTATTACACTGAATTCGAAGGCATAAGCCGGGACTTGCTGCAGTGACTACAAGAGTGCCAAAAAATAGGCACACCCACAGCAGGAGAGTGACTTAGAGGAAATTGTCCTGGTTTGATGGACCAAGAATTTGTAGAAGACAACTTCATGCATTCAAAAGCAACAGAATCTAGTGCCGAAAGCAAAAAAAAAGAAGTTTTTATCTTAAAATCAAGTTTGTAGTCCATGGGCTTGTATGCTACTTATTATTAATAATTTTATAGCATTATCAACATGAACGGCACTCCAGAGTAAAACGTTAACAGATCCTTGCCACAAGGAGTGTGCTCTCTGAAATTTGACATCAGGTAGTGGGGGAGGGGAGGGAGATGTTTTCTTTGCAGTCACATGTGGTTAGGCTTGGTTTCACTAGGGAGGAGGACTGGAGGAGGTTGTGCCAAATATGTTTGGAAGTGTGTGGGCAAATGCCTGCTAGAATCTCAGAAGCCAGAAAGATCTGAGGAATAATTTTTAGTCTTTGGAGGCTTGAATCTCAGTGACCCCTGCAGTGGCCAGCAAAATCAGAATAAAGTAGGCAGAATGTGTCGGTATATATGTAATTTGGGACAGTGGTGCTTTTCTTTGCACAAGAGGTAGATTGCCTGGATGAACAGTCTACTGCTCAGAGCAGGCCAGTAGTAGTGTTTTCTGACGTTTGGAGTCCTCCTGGTTTGTTGTGGTCTGTGCTCATTGATAACTTCACTTGAAGGCCCTCGATCAAGATTTTGGCTTGCCTGCTAGTCTCTGCCTTGGTTGCTGCAGACCCTTCCGAGGCAAGCCGTAGTTCTGATAAAAGCTGTTCTTGAAAAAGAGGAGTCTCTTTCAAGAGCTCTCTCAGCCCTCCTACCTCACAGGGTGTCTGTTGTTGGGAGGGGAAGGGAAAGGAGTTTGTAAGCTGCTCTGAGACTCCTTTGGGTAGTGAAGGGCGGGGTATAAATCCAATCTCTTCTTCTTCTTCTTCTTCACTCCTGGGGAGAAGATTTTAAATCTGGCCAAGTTTCACTGGGAGCAGGGATGAGCCATGGTGACGGGCTACCCTTATGCTGCAAGAACGAGTTGGGTTGGCCTTGGCTTCAGCATGCGGTTGGAAGTGCTGGTCTTGATCTCTAAAGTACGGGATGGCCTGGGTTTAGGATAACCAAAGGGTTGCCCGGTTTCCTGCATGTCTGCCTGTTGAAGGCACTTCTCTGGATTGTCCTGTGCTTGAAATGAGGAGGCTGGTGACACTGGGTAGTCACCTTGATTTTGACACTGTGTCTCTGGAATACGCTTTCTTCCCCTCCAGCCCCCCTCCCTATTAGGCCTTTTTGATGTGGAAGCACCAGGGAATTTAGCAGGTCCTTGGGTGAGCTGTTGTGTTCCTCGGTACGGTTTGTATTGTTGGGTGTTGCATTGTACTTGTTTGCCTTGAACAAGTTCATGTTTGGCGGGAAATAATTCTAATGAATCAATAATGCAAGCGTAAGTGAATTCCAGATGCAGTTCTAGCGTCTTTTTCTGTTTTGACGGGTTGTCTGCGGTGTTCCCTCTAAGCTGAGTTAGTGTGAGCTAGCTCACAGCTTTTTAGCCTCCGGCTCATTGTCTTAGCTAAGGAAGGATGGCTCCAGAGCAAACTAATTTATGCAGTAGCCAAATCGCTCACTCACAGCTTTAATGCCAGCAGCTCACAAAATAGAATTTTTGCTCACAAGCCTCCACATCTTAGAGGGAGCATTGGTTGTCTGTTTTGAGGAGCGTGCTGCTTCTGCCCCCTTGCCTTTAAAAAACTTAACTTCATTTATAAAGGAGCTCTGGAGGAGAAACAAAAAGGAACTGTGACATCTCAGAGGTCAGGTGATTTACCTTTGAAGCATCAGCTTTTGTGGGCTATGGCCCACTTTGCCAGATGCAGATCCACTGAAGCAGCTGATGAAGTGGGCTGTAGTGTATGAAAGCTTACGCATCAACAAATCTGTTCTGCTTGTTGCAGTGAAAAGGGGTCTTGTGGCAATTTAAGACTAACAGAGCTACCTCGCTGGAGTTTGTTTCCACGAGGAGGTGGTGGTGGGAGGATGGGAGTTTGGTGTAGTGGTTAAGTGCACAGACTGGGTTTGATTCCCCACTCCTCCACTTGCACCTGGCTGGATGACGTTGGGCAAGCCATAACTCTGGCACAGCTGCTCTTGAAAAAGAGCAGTTTCTGGCAAGAGTTCTCTCAGCCCCACCTAACTCTCATGGTGTCCGTTGTGGGGAGGGGAAGAGAAAGGAGTTTGTAAGCCGCTCTGAGACACCTTTGGGTAGTGAAGGGCGGGGTATAAATCCAATCTCTTCTCTTCTTCTTCTAATGTACTGGACCTTGGCAAAGGGTCACTGGGACACTGGAGGCAGGGAGCAAGCAGAGGTTGCCCAGGCAGTAATAGGACCAGAGTAGTGGTGGTTCATGGTAATTGGTCAGAGGGAGAATTATGCTCAGGACTGAAATGTTGAAGCTATGGTAAAGACTTATTTTTTTCCAGGAAAAAAAGAGGAACTTTGAGGAAAATTGAAACATATATGCAATATTTACTTTAGCTATATATCTAATAGCCAAGACACCCCCTCTGTGCGGATATCTAAATCCGTACATCAGGGGCACTTGGGGGGCAAAGAGATTTTCCTGCACACTCGGGGCAATCCCCAGGTGTGCATAAAAATCTGAAAAGTTTAAAAACCATATGGGGGATACTTAAATCCACCAGAAAGTAAAAGAGTGTTCCCTGCACATGTGCAGACAAAGCTCTGGCAAGTGTCTCGCTGCCGCTGGCAAGGAGGCGGCTTGGCGGGCCGGCAGCTGTGAGCTGCTCAGGCCTCACCGCCGTGGGGGGGGGGAGAAGGCTTTGCAGGGCCTGATGGGTCCACCTGCTGTGCTCACCTGCTGCCGCTTCCTCCTGCGGAGCTTCTGCAGGCCAGGAGCTGTGGGGAATACTCCCCCCCGCGCGTGAGTATCGCGGGTCCCCCTTCTTGTTACTAAACCTAAACCTGTTTTGCTGTGTTAATAACATAAGATGCCACATTTATTATTTAGTGTATAAAATGATGTTAATTGGCATACTTGTGGAGTTTAAATATTTAGCTTGCCGTATTTTTGTTTCGTTTTGCAATTTTGCTTGTAGAAAAAGGTAAGAGAGTTGCAAACATTATTCCTAAAGCCAAAGAAAATCTATTTCATACTTTTTTAGCACTCCTGTAGATTTCCCAGTTTTTCTAAAGGTTTATTTTTTTATGTCCTTGTTGATGGGGAGTGGGAAAATGTTTTCCCAGAATTTTTCTCCCGCTCCTCCCACCCACATCTCTAGCAGCAGCCTGAAAGTTTTGGTGGGGAGCTCCTTGTGGCAGAGTTTGGACCATTGCAGAGCCTGCAGCATAACTGGCTGCTTTGCTAGCTTACGTCTAGGCTCTGTGTTGGAGCTGAGCCTTGGCTGAGAAACCTTTGGCTGTGCAGTAGGCTCTTGAAATGGCAACAAGCTCCCTTGCTATCCCCGCACACTTTTGCTCCATTGCAAGACAGTTGGGCCAGCTCGGTGTCCTTTTCTGGATGCAGCGTGGTTCTGTTTGTCGCAGTGCTTTCCTTATCTTTGCTGTGCTCTGTTTGCCTTAAAGGAATGAGTGTTGACTGTGTATTCTCCTGTTCTTTCCTCCAGTTGTGCTGATTGGAGACTCTGGGGTGGGAAAGAGCAATCTCCTATCCCGCTTTACACGCAATGAGTTCAACCTGGAGAGCAAAAGCACCATTGGCGTGGAGTTTGCCACCAGAAGCATTCAGGTGGATGGGAAGACGATAAAGGCACAGATCTGGGACACTGCTGGCCAGGAGCGATATCGTGCCATCACCTCTGCGTAAGACTCAATATCACACAAATTGTTTTTGGGGTTCCTTTCAGTTAAGATTGAAGCAGGGGTGAGTAGGCTCATGGTGGGGTCTGTGGCCCCTGCTGTTTGATTTGTTTCTTGAGCACTGGAGTCAGTGGACCTTATTCTGGATCCAGTGAGGCATCGTTGATCTCCTTCAGCAAGAGCGCTTGGTTCTACATGTGCAGCAGAACAAAGTGCTGGGATGGTACCATGGGGTTCAGATTGCAGGCGAGGGATTACATTCTTCAGAGGTTCTGTACATCAGTCATTCCTTATAAGTGGGGAAACTGCCTGACTTGGATAGCACAGGCTAGCCCAATCTCGGAAGCTAAGGTAGATTGACCCTATCTAGTATTTGGATGGGAGACTGCCAAGGAATACCAGGGTCACTATGCAAAGGCAGGCAATTGCAAACCACCTCTGAACATCTCTTACCTTCAAAACCCTACGGTCGCCATCCGTCAGCTGTGACTTGACGGCGAAACCAACATCAAAGTAGAAAGCTGCCCTGACCTGGATAGCTCAGGCTAGTCAGATTTTGGAAGCTAAGCAGGGCCAACCCCTGCAAGTACTTGGATGTGAGACCTCTAAGGGATACCAGGGTCTGGATGCAGAGGTAGGCAATGGCAAACCACCTCTCTGAAACGTCCAAGCCCCACTAGGGGTTGCCAGAAGTCAACCATGACAGCTAGGCACACGTGCACATGCACACAGAGTACTCATGCACAAAAAAACCAAAGTGGAAAACTAGCAAAGACTTGTAGTTTAGCCTTTCACATGCACTTTCCCCCAGTGCATTTTTTAACATTCGCTTGGAGCTCTTAAATGACATAGCATTAAAAAATTGATTCCCCCTCCCTACGGTCTGAAGTGGCTCGGCTCATTCTGCCATCTCATTTCTGTTGCATGTGTAGACTAAACCTTGTTTTTTTTGAGAGCATACCAGCTCTTCCTTTGTAAATTTAAAACGTTCCCATGACCATGGCCTTTCTAGTAAAAATAAAAATAGATCAAGCCAGGCTGAGATCAGATTGCTCCCATTAAAGAAGCCTGAGTCCAATGGAAAGGGCCTTGTACAGTGGGGTGCAAGGGGAAAAAGGCCCATAATAATCCCAGACTGGCTCAGTCCTGTGACTCCCCTGCCTTCTGGGCCTTTTTGCGTTGAGTTCCTGAGCAGCTCACCGGCGTGTTCAAGGCTTCTCCCTGCCTGTGGGTCTTGTGTTAAAATTCTTGTATATCCAAACTAAGGTGTCTCTTCCCTCATAAACATTTGCGTTTTTGCTTTTCCCCAGAGAAATTAAACATTTACTTGTGAAAAGTCTGTGACAACAGCTCACACTGTTGCCTACTGGTGACTGTGCGCCCCTTGGAGACATTTGAGGCTCACGAAAACGAAGACTGAGCTGTTAACCTTTACTCCCCAAATCTCAGTTGAGCTCCTTGTTGCGGGCCTTGTTTCTGTGTATCTGAGTCCTGAGCAAATATCCAAGCTCTGTTTATTCTTTCAACCTTTAGCACTGTATGAAGCTTGCTGAAGAAAACACAGATTTCCCAGTGTTTTTTTAAAAAGTGAAACCCGGTTTGGGTGCTTAGCCCTGTCCTTTATTTACTGTGGTAGTAAAAACTGCTGTATGATGGCAGAATACTAACCTTCTCAGAGCCAACAGCAAAATCTTGTAAAATCTGTTACATTCGTTGGCATAGCCCACCGCCCTTTCCCATTGACTGACACTAACGTAGCATACTGAAAGCCAGCCTAGTGGCCTCCAATGTTCCCTCTAAGCTGAGTTAGTGTGAGCTAGCTCACAGTTTTTTAGCCTCTGGCTCACACATTTTTGTCTTCGCTCAGGAAGGATGGCTCCAAAGCAAACTGATTTATGCAGCAGCCAAATCGCTCACTCACAACTTTAATGCCAGTAGCTCTGAAAATTGAATTTTTGCTCACGAGACTCTACAGCTTAGAGGGAGCACTGGCCTCCAGTCTCGCTTCAGGGACTGAATACTTGCATGCCAAAAGGAAACACTGTCAGCTCACTCTGGGTGGACATGTGAAGTTGTGCCAGGTCTGGGAGGGAAAGGGTTGCCTGGTTTCTCAGAAAGAAAGCTTAGTCAGGGCTTCTGAACAGCCGGCGTTTTTCACAACATTGTCAGAGAGAAGTCTTCCAATTGTAGTCCTTATGCTGAGTTACTGCTTAGCTGCCTGCTGTTCCCCTAAGTCTATATTTAAAATAGTTTAGAATATCTACTTGCTGTCTCTTGGCATAGTAAAACCATAAAAAGACCAAATCAACCCCACAACACGTTTCCAATAAATCTAAACAGTAAGGGGTGGGAAACCCAAACAAACATTAATATTTGAGGGAAGAGGGGTGTGTGTGTGTGCGTGATAAACGCTGACACACTTCCCCTTACTAAAGCTTGACGGGACAAAACAGTCTGAAGTGTCCGGGCAGGTATATCTACCCTAGTGGGTCTATTCTTCATCTTATCTTTGTTGCTTCCTTGTAAGCCTTTCTCTGGCATCTGTGATAGTGGGCAGACCCCTAGGGGGTCTTTTTTTTTTAAAGCCCAAACTGGGCTAGATGTGCTAACCACTCCCTGCAGTGGAAGTGCTGTTACTAAGGTGCCCTGATGGTGGGCTTCCTGGAAGCATTTGGCTGGCCCCCATGAAGGGGCCAGCTGAGGTGAAGAAGAAGAAGAGGAGATTGGATTTATACCCCGCCCTTCACTACCCAAAGGTGTCTCAGAGCGGCTTACAAACTCCTTTTCCCTTCCCCTCCCCACAACAGACGCCCTGTGAGGTAGGTGGGGCTGAGAGAACTCTTGACAGAAACTGCTCTTTTTCAAGGACAGCTCTTATCAGAACTACGGCTTGCCCAAGGCCATCCAGCCAAGTGCAAGTGGAGGAGTGGGGAATCAAACCCGGTTCTCCCAGATTAGAGTCGGCGCACTTAACCACTGCACCAAACTGGAGGGTGGGCTTCTGGTCCTTGTACATTCTTCTTTGTCGTGCTGTTTCAGATACTACCGTGGAGCTGTTGGGGCGCTTCTGGTTTACGACATTGCCAAGCACCTGACATACGAGAATGTGGAACGTTGGCTGAAGGAGCTCCGGGATCATGCGGACAACAATATCGTCATCATGCTGGTGGGGAACAAGAGCGACTTGCGTCATCTGAGGGCTGTGCCGACCGACGAGGCTCGCGCTTTTGCAGGTTGGTCGGTCTCTGTGGCTTCGGTCGTTGGTTTCAGAAATGCTGCCTTTTAGCCGCCGGAGTTTGGAGCAGTCTTGTTTTCTGGGCTCTGAGAGGCAGAGCACACTTCCCGAATTCCACGTCTGGAAGGAAACGGGAATTATGGCTCCTTGCAGGAAAGCTTTGTGTGAGTCGCTGAGAGGTGGTTGTGATGTTGTTCATGGAGTGGCTCTGTCCAAAGTCTGTGGCAGGGTTCCCCAACTTCTTCGAGCCTGCGGGCATCTTTGAAAGTCTGGCACAGCGTGGTGGGCGCAGCCACAGAATGGCTCCCACAAAACGATTGCTGCAGCTCACCTTCAGCCACACAGTGAAGATCCTTGTGCAGTGGTGGCAGCTGCCGCTGAAGCACCGTTTTCCAAAATCTGCACAGCCGGTCAGATCTCCAGCAGCCAACGGGAAGTTCTGCCGGGCAAGAGCCCCACCTGACCACACCCACTTTCTAAAAACACTTGGCATCAGTGTTCCCTCTAAGCTGAGTTAGTGTGAGCTACCTCACAGTTTTTTAGCCTCCGGCTCATACATTTTTGTCTTAGCTCAGGAAGGAGGGCTCCATAGCAAACTGATTTGTGCTGTAGCCAAATTGCTTGCTCACAAATTTAATGCCAGTAGTTCACAAAGTAGAATTTTTGCTCACAAGACTCCACAGCTTAGAAGGAGCATTGCTTGGCGTGACCAGGAAAGGTGTCGATGGGCACCATATTAGGAACTCCTGGTCTAGGGGGGGGGGGTGGCGGCGTTCAGGGAGTGAGGGGGAAGCCTTGATTGGAAGTAGGTATGCTAATTAAAGCAATGGCTGTAATCTTTGCTGTTAACAGATAGAGTAGAGTGCATTCCCTGCCTGCCTGCCTGCCTTACTTACTTACAAGGGTGAAGCCCAGAAAGCCGTGCTGACATTTGAGGGAGTTTGGGCAGAGCAGGGAGAACGGGATTCCCAAGACAGCGGACCACAAGCGCAAGACATTGCAATGAATTGAGTCTCGCTGCCATCCAAGGCTCACAGTGGTTTCACAGGGTAACCCAAACAAAACACACTTAACTGAGAAGCTCAGGGACTAAGTTGGGAAAGAGGGAGTTGATGCAGGCTGAGGTTGACCCCCTACTGTCACGCCTTTAGGTGAACAAAATAAACCTTTCTCAGCTTTAAATTCTTTTCCCTGTTTTTATTCCTCCTCCTTAAAGGTCTGGAGAATGAAGAGGGAGGAACATCCACCTATTGATTAAAATCCATTGTTGCTTATCCTGGAGCCCTTGAGCTAGGAGTCAAAATAAATAACTCTCTCTTCCTATTCCACCTGTTTCCTACCAGAAAAAAACAACTTGTCTTTCATTGAAACGTCAGCGCTCGATTCGACAAACGTAGAAGAAGCTTTCAAGAACATTCTCACAGGTAAGGATTTCAGGCGAGAGAAGCCAAACTGAAGGAGCATGTGGTAGGAGGTGGGGTGGCAAGTGGAGTCCAAAGGTGTGGGTGTCCTGTAGGGTAGGCTGTGGGCTTTTACCGGCGCCCAGGCCTGCCACACAGCTCTTTTGGCATTTTGGTGGTTTAGCAAAGCTCACTGGTGGAACTTCTGCTTGGTATGTGGAAGATCCCGGGATCAATCCCCTCAGCATTTCCATTTGAAAGAATCATGTAGTGGGTGATATGAAAGACCTCTGCCTGAGTTCCTGGAGAGTGGCCGCCAATCTGACTAGACAATACTGTCCTTTATGGACGAACGGTCTGATTCAGTATAAGATAGTTTCACATGTTCATGTTAGTGATTTTTCCAGCAGGATGCAATACAAATGCATAATAAAGCTAAAATTGTATGAATTTATTAAAATGAGAATAAAGTTAGAAGGCCAGGAGTATCCGGGCAGTTCTGCCTTTACCTCAGCACAGGGAGCTGAGTATGGGCACTAGCTTGTTGCTTCATTGTAGCATCATCAGACTGTTCTTCATGTCTCTGGTTGCCTTCCATTCTTCTTCCTTGGTGGGGTGCCACAGCTATAAAGATCCTGCTTCTAGTGGCAGAGGCCCATGTTGTGTAGATAGTTGGTAACCAAGAGGCCTTGAGTTGATGCACCTGTATGGTAGGGTGATTGATGTTGGGAGCAGTGTTCCCTCTAAGCTGAGTTAGTTTGAGCTAGCCCACAGTTTTTCAGCCTCCGGCTCACACATTTTTGCCTTAGCTCAGGAAGGAGGGCTCCAGAGCAAACTAATTTATGCTGCCACCCAATCGCTTGCTCACAGCTTTAATGCCCAGTAGCTCACAAAATAGAATTTTTGCTCACAAGACTCCACAGCTTAGAGGGAACATTGGTTGGGAGCCTGTGAAGTTGCCTTATACAGTGTTGGATCACTGTTCCATTGAACCCAGTATTGTCTAGAGCAAGGGTGTCAAACATGTGGCCCGGCGGTTGGATCAGGCCCCCGGAGGGCTTCTGTCAGGCCCGCAGTGGAACTGGCTGTCTTCTGCTTCTTCTTCCAGTTCTGCTGCTGCTGCGTCATTGTAGGTCTGCAGCTTACAGATACACACCTGAACAGCATACTCAAGATTGCAACAGCACAGACATTTTGATGTAATAATTCAGAGCAAGAGGTGTCAGTTATCAGACACTGTTAAATAAACAAAATATTGCAAGAGTGCTAATGTTTTAAGCATGTTTTTAAGTTAAAAAAACAAAAGCTTCTGTCCTTTATGAAGTTTATATCTTTGCTACCTGGCATTACATTTTATGACACACATGGCCTGGCCCAACAAGGCCTCATTTATGTCAGGTCCGGCCCTCATAACAAATGAGTTTGACACCCCTGGTCTAGAGGCACTGTTTGATGGCTTGGAGCAGAAAAAGAGAGAGATCTCTGCCAACACCTGAGATGGATTGACTGGGGATTGAGCCTGGGATCTGCCGTATACAGAGCCAGGGTCTCTGCCTCCGGCTGAGGGGCCAGTTGGCATTGTCCCAGGGACACCCAGTTTGGTGTAGTGGTTAAGTGCGCGGACTCTAATCTGGGAGAACCGGGTTCGATTCCCCACTCCTCCACTTGCACCTGGCTTGGATGACCTTGGGCAAGCCATAGTTCTGATAAGAGCTGTCCTTGAAAAAGAGCAGTTTCTGTCAGAGCTCTCTCAGCCCCCCCTACCTCACAGGATGTCTGTTGTGGGGAGGGGAAGGGAAAGGAGTTTGTAAGCCGCTCTGAGACTCCTTTGGGTAGTGAAGGGCGGGGTATAAATCCAATCTCTTCTTCTTCTTCTTCTCTGCTGGCTGGCTGTTTTGCCTTGACTAGTGAAGCACATCCTCAGCTGCATTTTTACCAGCTTCATAGCTGATAATGGAGTGCTTCATATGCTCATGGGAATAGCTGGTGTTTTCAGGGGAAAGTCCTCCTTGTTCTTATTTTAATTGCATGTGTGCTGTCCTGGGAACCCAGGGCCACTTGTGACTCCTTTCAGTGTATTTACACAATAAAAAGAAGAGGAAAGTGGCTTGTGGTGTTTATGACAGCACCACAGTATACAGACCTGTCTGTTTGTTTCCTTCTTGGGTGATGCAGTCAGGGTAGAGAATGCAGTGGGGCAAGGAAGGAAATGTGTATGCATCTCCCTACCCCTGGGTAAAGCAAATGGCTTGTCAGAAGGCATTGTTATGGTACCCCCTAGGCTACCTCCGACGTTCCTTAGGGACTTGCGTGTTGCTACCATTTGGCTCCAGCAGTGTACAGCAGCACATGCATGTTGGGTTCTAGGAGCCCTTCTCAATTCAGACAGAGCAAAAGTGAGACATGTGGCATGTCTCTGTGTGACATGAGAGCATGTCTTCCCCATTATCTGCACCATCCGCAGTCCTGCCGAAGACACACAAGGGTTCCTTGGCTGGCAGATGAGGAAATTATTCCTTCCCGGTGCAGAGTTTGAAACAGCTGGTCTTTCAGCGTCTTGAGGGAGGTGAACTTTGTCCAGGTTGCTTCATCCTTGTCTGTTAATGGGAGCACAGATCCCTGCTGGACCTTGCTTTTTGTTCCTTGAATCATCCTCCAATATTCTAAGTTTTGTGTTGCATTCATGAGAGGAGAACAGCCGGGGCTTAAAACTGCCTTGCGTAGCAGGTGTTCTTAAGCTATACAGCCTTAAGTGGATTAGGCCTGCTGCCTGTTGTCCCATTTATGTGGAGGGTTACCCGTGTATCTTGAACTCTTAAGTGGCAGAGATTCAGGCAGGTAACCATGTTGGTCTGAAGCAGCAGAACAGAAGTTTGAGTCCAGTGGCACCTTTAAGACCAGCAAAAATGTATTCAAGGTGTAAGGTTTTATTCAAGGTGGAGGTATGTGGAGAGCCAGTTTGGTGTAGTGGTTAAGTGCGCGGACTCTAATCTGGGAGAACCGAGTTTGATTCCCCACTCCTCCACTTGCACCTGGCTGGATGACCTTGGGCAAGCCGTAGTTCTGATAAGAGCTGTCCTTGAAAAAGAGCAGTTTCTGTCAAGAGCTCTCTCAGCCCCACCTACCTCACAGGGTGTCTGTTGTGGGGAGGGGAAGGGAAAGGAGTTTGTAAGCCGCTCTAAGACACCTTTGGGTAGTGAAGGGCAGGGTATAAATCCAATCTCCTCCTCCTCTTCGTCGTCTTCTTCTTCTTTTTCTGGACTGGTAACTTTCATTTCACTGTATCTGAAGAAGTGTGCACGCCCATGAAAGCTTATACCTTGGTCTTACAGGTGCCACTGGACTCAAGCTTTGTTCTTAATTGGCTTGCGCAGGGGGATTGCCATTGGAGGCTCCCTCAGTCAGAAATTCGCAGTCTCTGATCTTCAGTTTAACCTGTTCAGGCTGAGAGAGTAGCAGTAAAAATATATATTTAATTTTTTCTCTTTTTTCCCCGAGGGCCCATTTAGATGTATAGGAAAACATATGTTATGGCTGTTCTTTGATCCTTCAGTTTCCAACTGCAGGCAAAGGACTGAATATTTAAATCCCCACTTGGGTTAAGGACAAAAGCATATCGCCATTCCCCACAACAGCTTGCTACACGCAGGGCTTGATCCAAACACATAGTCCTCAGAACCACTTCAGGCTGCGGACAGTCTACTGTATGCTTTTGCCCATTTGAAGGGTTCCCAAACATGAGGATGAGTATACGCAAACAACGCATTGAGCAAAGATTTTTGCCTGTTGTGTATTGGCTGTGGGAGACCCACATGGCTCTGCGCAGCCGTTCGTTAGTACCGATACCCTGGCTGCGTTCTTTCTGTCCCCTGGAGAAAACACAGGTCTGTACCTGAGTCCTTTCTGGTCTCCTTTTTTTGCAGAGATCTACCGCATCGTGTCTCAGAAGCAAATTGCAGACCGATCTGCCCATGACGAATCTCCCGGAAACAACGTGGTGGACATCAGCGTGCCCCCCACCACCGACGGACAGAAATCCAACAAACTCCAGTGTTGCCAGAACCTGTGACCTCCAGGGGCATGCTCCTGCCTCTCACATTGCCTGTGCTTCACTTAGAAACTCGTGTGCACTCCTCCTCCGGTGTATCCCGTCATTCGGTGACTCTCGTTTCATTTTCACAACCCCACTCCACCCCCACCTCTTCCCACTCATCTCAGAGTGTTACCCATAGGGCTAGCATTCCTTTGCCTCTGGTGAATCCAGTTAGAATGTTTTTTTTTTTCTTTTTCAAATTGGGGGGTGTAGTTTGAATGATAAGTATTGACATGGCAGGTGGTTGGGGTTTGGTGTTACCTTGCTTATGAAATGCCTACAGGACACACTGCCCCCCCCCCTCAACACTGTTAACTTTCTTTTCCCTGTTCTCACTTGTGGGAACGGAAGGAGTCTTTTTGTTGTTGTTGTTGTAGTGGCAGAAGAAATAACTGCACTTGGGGGCAGGGACTTAGATTCTTTCACAGCTGCCCGAGAAATCAAAGCCAAGAAAGACCCATTCTACCAACACTTCAAGTTTCCCAGGTGGTTGGGAGAAGACCTGGGTTTAGGCTTCTACTGCTCACACGTACACATGCACCTCAAAAAGCTGTTCAGAAGGTGTGTCCCCCACCATTAATGCAGAATTGGTCTCGCACTGTAGTTCTCCCTGCTTCCGACCCATGGAAACGTTTACTTTCATGTCTTCTGTCTCTTTGTTTTCCAGATTGGGAACAATGAAGTGTGTCGCTACATTATGTTTTTGTTCCTCCCCAGTTGTGCAGAAGCTGTATATGAAGTAGCTTCTAGTGCTCTCCCCCCCCCCCCTTAGGGCTTTCTGTTAATCAGCCTCTGTACAATTAAGTGCCAGCCTAATGGCTTTGGTAGAATCTTCTTGCAGTCTGTAGAAATTATGCCGCTTTGCTCTGTAGAGAAATCTTTCCTTGGAGACCTCCCCGATTCTGTCTGTCTCTCTCTTGCTGTCTCTCTCTGCATGCTGCTCTATTTCCCCAGTCTCATCCCTCTTCCCTTCTCCTTCCTTTTGCGTGCGGAACAAACAAACAAGACTAACCCTGGAGTGAGTGTGAAGCAATATTTTTCATGCCATGTACATAACTCACACTGGTAAGGTTCCTGACTGATTATAGCTGTAGAGAAATTGGTAACTTTTTTGTAACACTTTAAGCAAAAGCGCCTCGGAGCTGATTGCCGTTTCCCTGGCAGGTGGCCTGCTTTTACTTCTGACCCCCTCTCCCCTTGTGCTGTTGCTGCTTCTCTCACCTTGTTCTCTTGAATGGTTCTTTTTCTAGAAAAAACTTGATCTTTTTTTTTGTTCTAAATGATTGTATTACTATGATGTACCAGAACTCTGACATCATGCAGGGCTAAAACACCACCAAAACTTAAAACAAAAGAACAAAATGGACGGAAAAGGCCTTTTCTCTCTGTTCTTTCTCATCTTTTCTCGCCCTCCCCAGCCCATTCCTTTACTAGTTGAGAAGATCTGTGTCGGTTTTTCCTTGTCATCTGCTGGAGTTTTTAAAAGGGGGTGGTGGTTGCTTGTGAGGTAGGGAGATGGGAGCCCCCATGATAAGCGAAAATCTAGGGTTGCTGTCCAGTAGCAATTCAGAGGGGTGGGGTTTTTTTTTGAAGGTTGAATCCTGCCACATTAGTGCGTGGGGATATATTTGTGTACGTAGACTTGGGTGCAGGATAGGGGGTACCGGTTGCTGTCAGATGCTGTTTTTATGGTTGGGCTTAAGAAAAAGACCTTTTGGCAGTTAGGCAAAAGTGATCCTGTTGTATTCTCCTACTGCTCCTCTGGTTTTGCAGTTTTTTCATCAATCTGTAGGAATAAGTGTAGGACCACACTCCTCTTTTATCTCATCTACCCACTGGGAAGTTTAACTTCTTGACCGGTTGGGAGCATCCTTGGATTTGCAGTCTCTTGGGAAGGAAACGTCTGGCTTATCCATCAAGGCCAGGCTGAAGCAGGAGACAGTCCCTGTCTGGGTTTTGTGGCCTGGCTGCTGAGTCATAATGCCTGTGAGAGACCCAGAGCGGGGAGCAAACAGTGCTGTTCATCCAGGCTGCAGAGTGGCACTGCACACTGTGTCCAAGGGTTTCTTCTTGGTCTGATAAATTCTCTTGGCGTGGGGGTGGGGAGAGCTCCGAGCAGCCTGAGCTTTAATCTCTGCAGCAGCGGCTTTGACCTTCTGAGCTGCCTTTTCATTGGCCGCCAGCACTGTCTCCTGGGATGATCCACTTGCCGCTGGCAAAAGGGTTGTTGATGCAGTTGGGTTTTGTGTGTGTCTCCCTCCCTCTACTGGGATTTTGAAGGATTTGTTTTTTCCCTCTTCACCTCTCCAAAAAACCCACAGCTACTCTAATACACCTGTAATTGGGGAGGGGAGCACAATTGCATTCCGTTAGGTATCCAGTAGGTATCCCCATCCCTTCAAAGAGATCAGTCTCCGTTGCAGCTTTTTAGTTGAAGTTCAAGACTCCAGTTATCCCTTTCTGGGCTATGGGCTTCCACTTTAGGAGTCTAAAAGCCTCTTCAAGAATACAAAGGTGAGGGGGTCATGATTAAAGGGCAGTTGGACACCCAGTACCATTTCACATTGAACCCTTGACAGATTTATATTACCTAGCATTGAATGGGGGAAGACTGTAAAGTAGTATTTCCTGTACTGGGGAGATTATCCTCGCTGAGACACACTCCTGTGTTGCTGAAGAATAATTCCAGGATGCTGCTAGTTGAGCCTTGGGGCTTACTAGAGTGTACGAGGATTATGTTGTATGAGGGGTGTGTGTGTCAGGGAAGAGCAGGTGGAGGTCACAAGTTCTAAGCATTTGATGATTGCAGAGAGTCGAGCCACGGACTCCCATGTTCCTCTTCTTAAACCTTAATTCCTTAGCCGTGTTTTTCTACTGTAGTCAGCATCCTGGTGAGGTGAGGCCTTTGTTTCCATGGGAGACTTACTGCTTCCCTGCAGCCCAGGGTCTTGTGATGAAAACCCCAGGCCTGCCGGAGAGAGAGAATGGAACTTGTTTTCCCTTCTCTGGGGCAGCAGTGACGGATGTGGGGGGAGTCCTGAGGTCGGGTGGGGCTGGGTTTGTGCAGGGGGACAGCAAGGCAGGCTGCAGAGTCGTGTCCGATTCCTTCCCCGGGCGCTGTATGTGTATTTTTTCCCTTGTTCCCTCGCTCAGACTTGACTCGACAGGGACAGAAAGCTCTTTCTGTATGCTCTCATCCCACTTTTTCCTCTTGGGCTGAATATCCTTACCTCTCCAGCATCTCCAGACTGTTCTGAGGAAACAGGGATGCTAGAGCAATCCTTGGCACTCAGCAACGGGCACAGCCCCCTCTCAATCTCTGCTTTTTCAACAGAGGAACACGTCCATTCCCATGCCAATGACGGAAAGGTCGCAGGTCTCGTATTTTTCTGACCATGACAAAACCCACCACAGTGGTCTGAGCGGGGAGCAGATCCAGAACGGGGCTGGGGATACAACTAAGGGGTCCTTCAGCAGTACTGCAGCTTGTCACAGGTGTGGGCGGGATGTCAGCCAGGCCAGTGGCCTCTTCTGTGGCTTCCGTGTCCTGAGGAGGAGGCCATTAAACACTCCACAGGTCACTTTGGGCTGTTGCATCGGTTCTGTGGGGGAAAGATCCCCCCCTTTCTCATTTGCTTCTTGCTGACTCTTCTGTTAAGTGCAATTCCCTTGTAAATACTCATTTGACTTTTGTGCATGGTTATTATGTATTGTGGATATAAAGTTTGCCAAACCAAGTGGTGTGTCTGTCTGTTGTTCCGAGATGAGACCAGGTGCAACATTACACTCGGCCCTGGTTGTGAGTAGGAGAAGAACCAAATGAGGCATATGGCTCCCTGGAATCTCTGACGTCTTTGGGTTATGAAGTTATGCCTGCTGAAACTATAGAAGGGGTGGCTGAAATGAAAATAGGGGTGAGGATCAGTGGGGACTTCTTTATCCAACAGGATGAGTAATACTTTTTGGCTGCTTCAGGCAGGTCCATAAGGGCTTTATATCTTCCCAAACAACCTCACACAGTTTGAAATTTTAGTCCTCTTGTAAGAGGAACAGTTTGACATCACTACTGGTGCCCCCCCCCCCCCCCAGTACGCTGTTCACTCCTTCCATTCATATCCTGTGATCTCTGGGGATACATGCAGGGGATTATCCTATTTTCCAATTGCTCAAGGGGTACACAGCTGTTACCTTCCAAACCTCAGGACTTCAGTAGCTGTTCAGACCCAAAACTCCCCGATCCAAGTCCAGCACCATACTTGGCTCTCGCATGACTGCATCAAATTGCCCTGGCCTGGATAGCCCAGTCTCCTCAGATCTTGGAAGCTAAGCAGGGTTGGCCCTGGGTAATATTTTGACGGGAGATCTCCAAGGAATAGTAGGGCATGACACAGGGGCAGGCAACGGCAACTCACCTCTGAATGTTTCTTGCCTTGACTTTCCACCACCAAGGGAACTTACAGAACAGTCACCTCCCCCCCCCCCCCAAAAAAGTATTGTTTGACAGTACTGTGCTGAAGTAGGTGTGGCTTTATTTCTTTGAAGATGACACTGCTCCACTCTTATAAGGAAGTGGCAGTCTGAAGTTCAGTATTTATTTTACTTGTACGGCAAAGTTATCCATTCCCCAGACAAAGGCTGCAGCAAAACAATTGCCATATCGTCAAAATTAGATGTAAACTGCTTTCACAACAGCTGTGGGGTGGGGTTTTTTGGTATTTTTATATGTGCATATGTGTGCACCTGGAAGTCATGGTGACCTCTGGTGACTGATCCCCTACTTGGGGGCCTGGAGGATATTCAGAGAGGTGGCTGAATAAAGCCTGCTTCTGTCCTCCTACCTCTGGTATTCCAAGGAGGTTTCCCATCCAAGTACTTGCCAGAGTCGGCCCTGCTTAGCTTCTGAGACCTGATGAGATCGGGCTTGCCTGGGCTATCCTGCTCAGGGTACAACATCTGTGTTGAAAGCGGCTCATATGGTTGAATGCAAGAGACTGTGGGAGGGCTTTGAAAAGATTAATGATAGGCTATCCTTGTAGCTTCAAGTTGTAGAATGGATTATCACTTAAAAATGTAGAACATACAGCCTGTGTAGTACCATCTAATTGGGTAATTTCGTAGAAAAAGAGGTGAAGGAGCTCATTAGCATAACTTATTTGGATATGCCACGCCCCCTGACATCACCGAATGTGTGTCAGAAGGCAACACCCACCACTCAGGCTCCACTGGACTGTTTTGGATTGCTAGTTATTGGGGGGGGGGAGTGCAGATCTGCCCTCACAGAGGATGGAGAGCTTGTACTTGAATAAAACTTGGTCTTAAAGGTGCCACTGGACTGTTTTGGATTGCTAGCTATTGGGGGAGGGGGAATACGCAGATCTGCCCTCACAGAGGAGGGAGAGCTTGTACCTGCGGGTGGGGGGCAGCTCTGCAACTACCTGGCTGCTTTTTGCTCCTTGTGGCCCGACTGAGGGCTGCTGGGAGCAGGGGGCGGGGCTTGTTGCATGTGCCCGCCCCCTGGGCTCCTTACTGCCGGAGCTCCGCTCCTGTGCAGGCTGGTGGTATGTAGGCTTTTTCTCCCACCGGCATCATCTCTGGCAAGCAACAGTCTCCACTTCTACACTAGGCCCCAGCAGCTTGTCTAGTATTTCTGTGAAACATCTTTCATCACCTAGAGAAAGAAAACAGAAAGCTATCAGCAGCTGACACAGAAGGAATAGGTTCTCCTGGGAGGTTGGGCCAAGTACCGCCCCAAAAGAAGCAGCAGGGGAACAGGAGAAGGAAGAAATGAGGTTAGCCAGTGGCTGGCTTCCCTCACCTGCTTCTCCCAGCCCTACACAGTTACACCTGCCGACTGGCCTTGTATACAAGTCTCGTCCTTTCCCCCTTGCTGCCGACTACCTTCTCCCAGAGTCAGAAAACTCTTCCTTGAGAGGCTGCTACCCCAAGAGTGGCTGGAACATGGGACTGCTACCCTGCTAACAGATCCTCCAAACATTTTTTTTTCCCTGTGAAGCTTTTAGCAGAAAGCTTTGCTGGCCCTTGTGGCTGAAAATGTGTTGTGACATACAGAAGAAGGAGGCTACCTGTGCATCCATCCCATTCCCAGTCTTGTGTGTACCTCCCTCCCTGAGGACCCTGTCCCATGGTGCTTACAATCTTCTCATTCTCTCTTCGGCACCATATGTGCTCTTTAAGTAATACATGACAGTTGTTGGTAGATAAGCATGGATATTACTCATAAGCTGCTTTGAGACCCTGCATGACTGAAAAGCAGGCTATACATCTGTTAACTAACCCTCAGCCAGTTCAAGGTGGCTGCCTCCTAGGGGTATGTAGTACTGTAATCTTCCTGCCTCAATATAGAGTTATTCTGTTAGGTAAAGGTTCCCTTGCTCGAAAGCCAGTCGAATCCGACTCTAGGGTTGCGGCGCTCATCTCTGTTTCAAAGCCGAAGAGCCAGTGCTGTCCGAAGACGTTTCCATGGTCATGTGGCCGGCATGACTAAACACCAAGGCGCACGGAACGCTGTTACCGTCCCACCGAAGTGGTACCTATTTATCTACTTGCAATTTCTTGCTTTCGAACTGCTAGGTTGGCAGGAGCTGGAACTAGAGACGGGAGCTCACTCCGTCTTGCGGCACCAGGTCTCGAACTGCTGAACTACTGACCTTCCACAGCCTGCAGTTCAGCGTCTTAACCACTTGAGCCACCGCATTACCATTCTGTTAGGTACCACCAAGATTATTGGGTTCCTTTAGATTCTGCAGTGGTGGGCATTTGTCAGGTTCCCCCCTCTCTATACGGGTCTGACGTTGAGTAAAAAACATTAATATTGTCCTATAAATTTAATTTGGGAGGAGGAGCCTCTGTGGAGTCCAGTGTCTCTTCAAAGACTGACAAGAGTTTATTCCAGCAAAGTTTTAGGCAGTTCAATGCTCCCTCTAAGCTGTGGAGTCTTGTGAGCAAAACTTCTACTTTGTGAGCTACTGTTATTAAAGTTGCTAGTGAGCCATTTGGCATAGTTTGCTCTGGAGCCATCCTCCCTGAGCTAAGACAAAAACGTGTGAGCTGGAGGCTAAAAAACTGTGAACTAGCTCACATTAACTCAGGTTAAAGGGGACAACAGTGATGAAGTGAGCTCAGGTTCGTGAAAGTGCATGCAGGAGTCAAATTTGTTACAAAATCAGGCACGTTTTTATTCTAGCAGAGATGGAGTAGAGTGGATTAGAGTTGACAGTGGGCTGCCCTCCCCAAATGCCTCTTGAAGGACGACAGTATCGAAGAGCAGTGTTCCCTCTAAGCTGAGTTAGTGTGAGCTAGCTCACAGTTTTTTAGCCTCCAGCTCACACAGTTTTGTCTTCGCTCAGGCGGGACGACTCCAGAGCAAACTCATTTATGCAGCAGCCAAATCGCTCGCTCACAACTTTAATTCCAGCAGCTCAAAAAGTAGAATCTTTGCTCACAAGACTCCACAACTTAGAGGGAGCATTGCTCACGAGTTAATGCTGCCTCATGAAAGTTTATGCCCCGGGGGAAAAAAAACCTTGTTGGTTTCTAAGGTGCTACGAGACTGGGATTTTGTTCCAAGAGTCGTGTTGATCTGCATGTTTAAATCGTCTTAAAAATTCCCGGGCTGGGAGGAAAGGGCGGATGAGTTTTTGCTTCCGAACTGCGGGCGTTTTAAGCGAGGTCGATGTTGCTCCCACTTTAAAAAGAACAAGCAACATAGTCGTCAGTTCGACGGTAGCGCGTGTTCGTTGCTGCTCGTCTCCCCTTTACGCAAATCTCTTCATCTTGCAAACGAGGCCCGGAAATGCCTGCGCGTGATTCTCCGGTCTTCCTCTTCTTCGCCTTGGCACCGCGCCAAACAAAGGGGGCGCGGCCTGAGACGGGGAAGGCACGCCCCGTCGCGACGCTTCGCTTCTCCCTCCTTCCGTTGCCCGGTCTCGAGCCCAAACTGCTGATTGGCTCGTTGGCGATGACCGTTACGGCTACCGCGACGTTAGCGAAGACGCATGCGTGCCTCCCGACTCCAAGAGGCGGAGGGCGGGATAGGATCGCTGGTTGGACGCGGCTTCCCGTCTCTTCTATTTTTTTTTTTGTGTCTGCGGGTTGATTGGCCGAGCGGCTGAAAACGGGGCGGATCCGCCTAGCTCTACCAGAACAGGCGGGCTCCCCCCCCCCGAGGCCTCTGATTGGTCTTCGCTTCCCGTCCGTCCTAGGCCTCCGGCGAGCGGACTGGCCGAGCCCAGGAAAAATGGGCGGGGATCGCGTTTCAGTCAGGTGCGCAGCTCCGACGGACGCCGCTGACTGAGGCTTGGCGGAGGCGGCCGCAGTAGCGGCCTGCCCCCGCCGCCACCACCCTGGGGGAAGATGGGGCGGCCCGTCGGGCCTCGGCGCTGAGGTGAAGCGCGGCGAGGCGGAAAGGAGGGAGGGAGGGACGCTGGCGGAAGGGGCGGGGCTTGAATGAGTGACGGGATCCGCTCCCCCCATTCGCGAGGGAGGAGGGGAGGGGGGTCATGCGGGGTGCGTGTGTGTGTGGGTGGGGGGGGGAAATGGGTCGGCCGCCTCTTGGACCGTGTGGGGGGTGGGGGCGCGGAGATGTATTCACGGAGGCTCCGTTGAGCCCTCAGAGGTCCGGGAGTGGGTTCAAAAAGAGCAGAAGCAGGACTGCCGCAGGGGGCCCGTCGAGGTCGGCATCCAGCGGTGGCCGGGCAGATGTTTCCGTCAGCCGGGCATCAGGACGGGTCCCTGGAACCCCCCTGCCTCAGAGGCGCACCCCCCCCCCCCCCCCACCCCGGAGAGGGTGGCTTCCCTTGGCGGTTACGGCCGAGACCGACGGATTAAACCTGCCCCTTCCTTAGTCGGTTGTTTGAGTTTTGTTTTTCTAGAACAGGCAAGGCGGGGTATATAAATCGGAATTATTAATAATAATAGAAATAGGAGCAGAAGACAGTGCCGTGACTGGACGCGGTGCCTCGTACAGACTTGCATGGCGTTTGGGCGCTTGGAGTGAAAAGTCGACCGCTTTGGAATTTGGAGGGTTTCGTGTCGCTCTCGTAGCAAATGAGACCTATCTTGGCCCCGGTCGCACGGAGGATTTGCTGCGTGAAAGGCACGAATGCTGGGCGGAGTTTTGGGACGCGATCACACCGTGACATCTGGCAACCCGTGGCGTGCCTCCGAAGATGCGCAGTTAAAAAATACCTGCAAAGATCTACTAGCAAATGGTTTGCAACGGGCTGCCGACGGACTCGTTCGGTGTGATTGCGCCGGCGCGCACCTATTTCCTACGGCCGTCCTCTTTGCAGCGCGTGACGAAGCACAAAACCCTGGTGTGCCATAATGGCGGATCAGAATGCGCCGGCGCAAATAGCCACACACACACCCCCCACGTTTTCCGGCATGTGTGACTGGGGCCGTGTCCACCCCCCCCCCATACCTAGTGAGAAAACCCAGGCCTAGGGCTTTGTTGATGATGATCAGTCATGCTCTTGCCTTTCTTCCCAAAGGTATGCTTTCTTCACACTTGTAGCTGGAGGTTTTGTTTAGGTCTGATGACTAATAGCTGATATTGGGCACGTCCTTCTCCACGAATTAGCCTTTTTATCTACAGATCCCTGCTGGATTTGGGGGTCCATAATTTTGTGACATCAGCCCAGATATGCCTGGGAAGTGCACAAGCAGGGCACACTGTTTGCCTCTTCCCTGTTGTTTGCCCCACAGCCCCATAGTCTGAGGAATACTGTCTCTGAACATGGAGGGTCCATTTAGCTCTTGTGGCTAGCAGCAGACATCTCTGTGAGAATATCCCTGCTGATTGGACCAAGGTCTGCCTGACTTAACATTCTGTTTCCAATAAAGGCCACTCCAAGAAGGCCTCAAAGTGGACATTAAGGCAGCTACTCTTGCTTTTTGTGTCTCAGCAGCTGGTCTTCAGAGGTCAACTTCTGAACGTGAAGACTACCTTTTGCAGTTAGGGCAGATAGCCATTACTAGTTCCCTTCTCCAGAAGAACACAAGAAGAGCCCTGCTGGATCAGGCCAGTGGTCCATCTAGTCCAGCATCCTGTCTCACACAGTGTGGCCAACCAGTTACTCTTTCGGGCCAACAACAGGGCATAGAGGCCAAAGTAATAGTTTTGTGAGTTATACCGCTAGTAGCCACAGATGGACCACTCCTCCATAAATTTGTCAAATCCCTTTTTAAAGCCCTCTGTGTTTGTGGCCATCACTACATCCTCTTTGCGATGAGAAATGCCTCTTGGAACCAGGCCCAGGGTCCATGCAGCTACTTCTGTTTCATGCTCTTAGGAAACTCAGGCAAGAAGGCAACAGTCTTCCCCTTTTCTTTATTCCCAACACCTGCTCTCAGAAGTAGACTGCCTCTGAACACAGAAGTTCTGTTAAACTAATCAAGATCAGTGGTTACGGGTGGGCTTCTTTTATGTGTGTTTGTGTAATGCTATTGTTTTAAAAAGTTATCCAAGCTAGCAGCCCAAGCTGTGTCTTGTGGCAGTGAGTCCCACAAGTTTTATTCTGTGCTGTATGAATAAGAAACATGATGCGTGTCAAGTGCCATCAAGTCTCAGCTGACTTATGGTGACCCCAGCAAGGGGCTTTCAAGGCAGACAAGAAACAAAGGTGGTTTGCAGAGTCTTCCTTGGTGGTCTCCCTTCCAAGTACAGACTCTGCTTAGCATCCGAAATCTGATGAGATCGGGCCTTCCCTCCCCAAAACCATGATAGGCGCAGGAAAGAGGGTGGCTGTGTCAAGTAAGGAAGAAGAAGACTGGGATTTCGGAATTTTTTTTAGGAGATGATGCATTTGGTGGGTAGTGATGACTGGAAGGGCGAAGACTCCTGGCTTGTTTACAGTCATTGATTGTCATCATACAGATGATCAAGTGGGTTTATGACCTAGTGCAGTGATGGCGAACCTTTTAGAGACCGAGTGCCCAAACTGCGACCCAAAACCCACTTATTTATCGCAAAGTGCCAACATGGCCATTTAACCTAAATACTGAGGTTTTACTTTAGAAAAAACAACTCCTACATTGACTTAAGATGATCCAAACAAAGTAAGGAAAGCAATCCCAAATGCTTTCATTTACTTAAAATTATTTGGCAGAGAATTCGACACTTTAATGATGGTCTGGGCCTGGCTGGGGCGATGGCACGTGTGCCCACAGAGAGAGCTCTGAGTGCCATCTCTGGCACCCATGCCATAGGTTTGCCACCACTGACCTAGTGGATTACCTTGGCAAGTTCAGCTGGGGAAGGCCAGGTAGGCTCTGTGAAGCCCTTAGTAGATCAGTGGGGTTGGCTGGGTAGCAGGGATAGGGCTGCTGTTATTCCATAATGTCCCATCTCCTGGCTTCTGATAACTTGCTTTTTAGGTATGAAAACATTTATCTGATGGGCAGAGGTGCTCAGAGGAAGTGATACCATATTGAAATGGGGTGGTGATGGTGGAGTTGTTCGACATGGAGCTGCTTGGGATCCACTCCTCAAACTTTGCCCCAGCCACTGGGAACGGTGGCACCAGAAAACGGCGCCTTTGCAGTGATTCCAGTTCTCCCTCCACCAGGAGTAGGTGGGGTGGGGGCAATGTTCCCTCTAAGACGTGGAGTCCTGTGAGCAAAAATTCTACCTTGTGAGCTCCTGGCATTAAAGTTATGAGTGAGCGATTTGGCCACTGCATAAATTAGTTTGCTCTGGAGCAATGTTCCCTCTAAGCTGTGGAGTCTTGTGAGCAAGAAATCTACTTTGTGAACTACTGGCATTAAAGTTGTGAGCGAGTGATTTGGCTACTTCATAACTTAGGTTGCTCTGGAGCCCTCCTTCCTGAGCGAAGAGAAAAATGTGTGAGCCGGAGGCTAAAAAACTGTGAGCTAGCTTGCACTAACTCAGCTTAGAGGGATCACTGGGGGGGTGGGAAAACATTTTGTGATGCAGGAACTCAACTGACCTTTTTAGAGGCTCCAGAGAAGTACTGGGCAGAGCGATCCTTTTTTTTTTTTTTTGGCTTTGTAGATCATTTTCATTCCAGAAGCCAGTGAGGTGAAGTGAGTAGAGCGTCGGATTGGGGTCTGGGAACCCCGGATTCAAATCCCCATTCTTTTAAAAAGCTCCCTGGGTGACCTTGCACTGGTTTATCTCTCTCTCAGCATAACTTGCCTCACATGGCACACCGTCCCAAGGTCCTGGTCGGGAGGGCAAGAGAAAATTGTACTGGAGACAATATCCCGGTTTGGAGGCTCTGATGTATATCAGGGCTTTGATGTGCATTTACTTGGTCCCTGAGCATCAGCTTACAGAATTTTAGTTCTATCTTCTGCCTTTATTTTGTGTACTTCCTCTGGGTGTTCTGTTTATTTACAATATTTACAGCCAAGGTTTTTGAAAGCCATCATCAAACTACAGTGAGGTCATATAACTGTGCTAATGCAGCCAACAACTGTATAATAAGCAGATTAAAGCTTCATGACAGAGTCAGTGTGGTGCAGTGGTTAAGTGCAGACTCTAATCTGGGAGAACCAGGTTTGATTCCCCACTCCTCCACTTGCACCTGGCTGGATGGCCTTGGGCAAGCCATAGTTCTGGCACAGCTGTCCTTGAAAAAGAGCAGTTTCTGTCAGAGCTCTTTCAGCCCCACCCACCTCACAGGGTGCCTGTTGTGGGGAGGGGAAGGGAAAGGAGATTGTGAGCCGCTCTGAGACTCCCTTGGGTAGTGAAGGGCGGGGTATAAACCCTACTCCCCCCCCCCACCGGCTAGGGTGGTGGAGTCTTTCCTGGTACTTGAGAGTAGGTGCCAGGTAAGCGGATGCAAGGAGAAAGGGGTGTCACCACAGCAAAAGCCCTGTCTCTGGCAGTCACTCCTCTGTCCTCCCATGATGGGGCCCTGTGCGGCAGAACCTCTTGAGAAAACTCTTGACTACAGAGCAGGTTTGGAAAGGAGCTTCTGTTTACCCCGGCCTTCTGTTGCTGAAGAGCGAGAGGAGTAGGTGTTGCTTCTACCAGATTTCCAATTGATGTCCCCACCACCTGGCTGGTATGAATTCAACAGTTGCTCTTCAGGAATTACAACTGGCCAGTGCACACATTGTGTACTGGGCTGTTTCTTGAAAGGGCCGTGGATCCATTCATTTGCACAGGAATGAAGCAGAGCAAAAGAGGTCCCTCCCAGCACCTTCCTAGCCCGGTGATGCCCCTCGTGGTGATGACAGGCGGAGGAACATGTTTCTTAGTGGCTCCTCTGGATGGCCATCTGAGTATGAGCCTGCGCATTTCTGGAAGTGCGTTTAATTTTTCTAAAAATCTTTTAACAAATTGGATCAATCAATTTTAAACTTTCTAACAGAAGAGTCGAGTGTTATTGTTTTTTTTTAAGTGTTGGTGTGTTCCTCAGTCTAGGGCAGGTTTGCAGAAATAAATTTCTTCAGCCATATGAGAAGCCGAAGCGTTTTAAGCTGGGAGAAATAGATATTCAAAGGAAGAGAAATTGCCTCCCCCTCATACACACTGTTGTGTTCACCCGTCTCCATAAGTGTCTCCATAATTCCATGGATTCTTTGCCAGCTTATCCGCTTTGTTGGACCCGGGGCAGCTTTTGCAGGAATGTCAGGGACTGTCTGTACGTGCGCATGTCTGCTTTTTTGGAGAGCTGTCCTTTGACTGCAGAACCAAAACAGTTAAGAGGTTCTAAGCGCATAGGCTGAATAATTCTGTTAGTCAAGTTAGAAACATTAAATATTAATAGATGTACAGAATTATGCATGTCTTTATTACAAAATGAATTAAAAAACAGATATTGGCCCTGGTGATAACCTCAGTTAAGAATCAAAATGTACAGTGACAACCCGAAATGTTCATTATTGACCCTGACTGGTATTATTACATCACTGTTGGCTCTTGGCTGAATCAATTTTTTCTGTCCAAGCAAGAAAGGTACACAATTGAGCCATTTACTATAGGAAAGTGTACCTGACCATGGCAGCAAACTATCAAGAATGATGCCTCTGATTAATATCTTTGCCTTTGGTCACAGATAATAATCATCAAACAATGGAAAAGAGCAAGAGTTCAGGAGCACTTTAAAGACTAGCAAAAATTGTGGCAGGATGACCTTTCATGAGTCACTGCACTTCTTCATGAAAACTCAGGCCCTGCTACAAATTTTGTTAGTCTTCAAGGTGCTACTGGACTCTTGCTCTTTTCTACTGCTATAGACAGGCTAACTTGGCTACCCATCTGGAATAATAAAATAAATTCATCTTGGTCAGTTTATAAGAAATTATTGTTGCATTGTGATGTCAGGAACCTCTGTGTAATATCATTTGTTTGACCACTGAGGCCAGGGGGCTGGAACACATGGCCAGGGTCAATAATGGTCATTTTTGGTTGTCACTGTACAATTTGATTCTTAATTGAGGCTATCACCAGACACCAGGGCCAATATTGGTTTTTAAAATTCATTTTGTAATAAAGACATGCATATTTTTGTATATCTATTCATAGTTAATGTTTTTAACTTGACTAATAGAATTATTGGGCCTGTACACTTAGATCTTCTTAACCTTTTTGGTTTTTAATTCAATTTATTTTGGGTTAAGTCCCCCCCCCCCTTTTTTTGTCCTTGAATGCAGAAAGCCTATGAGGCTGATTGGTAAAGTCTGTGTCCATTTCCATGTGCATCTAACCAATTGTTGGAAGAAAAGGAGCATGACGCTCCTTCTGGAATGAATTACTGGGAAGTAAGTCCTGCTGATTTCAACAGGGGCTTCAGAGCAAATCAAAAGCCAGTTTGGTGTAGTGGTTAAGTGCGCGGACTCTAATCTGGGAGAACCGGGTTTGATTCCCCACTCCTCCACTTGCAGCTGCTGGATGACCTTGGGCAAGCCATAGTTTTGGCACAGCAGTTCTCTCAGAGCTCTCTCAGCCCCACCTACCTCACAGGGTGTCTGTTGTGGGGAGGGGAAGGGAGAGGAGCTTGAAAGCCGCTCCGGGACACCTTTGGGTAGTGAAGGGCGGGATATAAATCCAATCTTCTTCAAAAGGGGATTGGATCGATTGACTGGTTGAGTGCTTAAATAAATGATTAGTAAAACAAAGAAGACACTTGAGTCATAAGAGGTTTGATATTGATAAAAAACCAAATTGGGTGTTACTGTGAAACGACGGGATTAAAAATGGTAAAGGATTAAAGCTTTTAATAATATTAGGAATTATAAAAATCGGGCTTTTATCCCAAAATATTGAGGTAAGCTTAGAGTTATGAAATGTTAAGGGATGTAATAACGTGAAATTAAAACAGACTGCAGGGATGCCCTGATTCTAGGGGCAAGAAAGATGCCGCCATGGGTTGGCCTGGGCATCTCTGGTGACTGATTGTTTGGAGATGCCTGTAGTGATCGCTAGAGGAGCCTCTTTAGGCTGAAAGGTTTGCCCCTGACCACCTCAGGCCTGGTGTGGGGTGGAGGGGCGGGAGTACAAGCATTCCTCTCTCTTTCACTTGCTAATCAACTGTAGCATGGTTAAATGTAAAACGGAAGCTCTCTTGTATGGCTTCAGGGAATTGTTATCCAAAGCTGCTCAAATAACAGTTGTCTGATCAATGGCCGGTGTTTGCCTGGGGCACTTGATTAGCCATTTCTCACCTCCAGGTTTTTTCCAGGGGAGATGCCCAGCATTGGGACTGGGACCTTCTGCATGCAAGCCAGGTACTCCAATAAGGGAACTGTGGCCCCACCCCAGTGCGTAACCGATATCATGTAAATAGGGTTCAGGTGGGCAGCCGTGTTGGTCTGAAGCGGCAGAACAAAGTTTGAGTCCAAAGTTTAATTTTGTGTGCAAACACACTTCTTCAGATACAGAGAACAGAATCTCTTCAACCGTCACATATAGGGGGTGAGGTGGGGGTTGTCAGGAAGGACCAGGTAAGAGTCAAGATGCATAAGAACTGGGTGATTATAGCTGAGATTGGATTAAGGCGAGATTAGCATACAAATACAAACGTGAACATGTAGATGTGAGAATGAGTTTGAGTCCACTGGTGCCTTCAAGACAAACAAAGGTCTATCCTGGGTATCTTTGTTTGGCTTGAAGGCGCCACTGGACTCAACCCTCATTCTCGCATCTACATGTTGATGTTTGTATTTGCATGCCACTCTTGCCTTAATCCCGTCTCAGCTATAATCACCCAGCTATAATCTTCTGCATCTTGACTCCTCCTTGACCCCCTATATGTAATGAAGAGATTCTGTTCCACTATATCTGAAGAAGTGTGCTTGCATACGGAAGCGTATACCTTGAATTAAACTTTGTTGGTCTTAAAGGTGCCGCTGGGCTCAAACTGTGTCCAGAGACCATGTGAAGTTGAGCCAGTGTGTGGGCAGAAGGGAGGCTGCCCGTGGCGGAGCGTAGGGGCAAATTGAGTGTTGCTTTTAAGCCTCCTTTTGAAGAGCTTTCCACCCATCTCTCTCTCTCTCTCTCTCTCTCTCTCTCTCTCTCTCTCCCTCTCTCCCTCTCCCTCTCCCTCTCCCTCTCTCCAGGCTGATCATGACTTCACAATTGGGCCACTGAAGCACAGCGTTCCCTGTTGCCATGACGACGGGTGACTGCTGCCATCTTCCCGGTTCGCTGTGCGACTGTCCTGGAAGCGCCACACTGTCCAAGTCGGTGGAAGACTCTGACCTTGGGCGGCCGCAGTATGTCACCCAGGTCACAGCCAAGGACGGACGGCTGCTCTCCACAGTGATCAAAGCCCTGGGGACGCAGAGGTGAGCCTGTGGTGGCCCCCCCCTTCCTGGAGGCCTGGCGGGCAGTGGGCTCGTTGCTGTGGTCACCAGAAGCTCAGCCTGGCGCGTTAGTCAAAAGTCCATTAGTTTGCCTCAGTTCAGCACAGGGGTCTTTTTGTAGAAAAAGAGCTGCCGGAGCTCATTAGCATAACTCATTAGCATATGCCACACCCCCTGACATCACCGGAAGTGTGTCATTAGGCCACACCCCCTGGCATCACCGGAAGTGATGTCTTCTTTCCTATGTTTGCTATCCTTGCTATTTTACTTCATGAAATGATTGGTACCACTTCAGATTGCAAGGGGTGTTGGAGTGGGGAGGACTGAAAAGATAGGCTGTTCATCCCATTGGGGGGGGGAATCCCCTGCTTTATAGGCACATTTGAAGCGGCTTTCTACTGAATCAGACCTTTGGTCCCTCAAAGTCAGCCGTGCCGGCAGCAGCTCTCCAGCGTCTCAGGCGGAGGTCTTTCGCTTCCCCTATGACCTGGTCCTTTTGACGGGAGATGCCGGGGGATGGAACCTGGGACCTTCCGCACGCCCAGCAGAAGCTCTACCGGCGCCCTTCCCACCCCCACGTGGGTGCCCCTCCTTCCTTCGGATGGCACCGTCTGAATGACTGGAATCGGCACAGCGCGACTGGGTCTCCCACCCCCTCGCAGGCATGTCCCGGATCGCAGCCTAAGCGCGCAACCTTCTGCATTTATTCCGCCAGTTCGAGCCTCTACCGAGAACCGCCCGGGTCAGTTATTATTGCAAAAAAAGAGGGGGGGAGACAAGTGCACACCTTCCCTTTCCCACCAACGGCTCCTTCCTAACCCCGGCAGAGCAAGCGGGGAGGGCTGTGCGGACGCGGGCGAGAACAAGCCTCCAGATGCCCTCCCCCCCAGCAGCCTTCCAAGCACAAAGAGGACAACCCCCCCCAGCAGGAAAAGGCTTCCCGGGCACGGCAGCCCTTTAAAAGCCACGCTAGTGGTTCCAACCCCAACAGTCCCCAATGGCGGTCCGCCCCGCCCAGCCGCCCGGGCCTCTCCTCCCTCCCTCCCGCCAGCTTCATGGAGTTTCCGCTCGTAGGATGGCGAGAGCCGCGTGCTTCTCCTCCTCGCTGCGATCAGGAGCCAGACAGCAGGGGAAGCAGCAGCCTGGCTCTTCTCCCCGCCCCTTCCGTGCCTTCCTTCCTTCCTTCCCTTCGATTTCCCCCCCCCAAAAAAAAAACACCTCAGGCACATGAACTGCCTGCCAGCCATCCCCGTCCATGCGCCGAAACCGACCCCCGCACACACGCCAGCCCGTTTAGAGCACATCGCGACCCATGTGCTCAGAAAGAGAGAGACTTGCCAACTTCTGCAGCGAACGGGCGAGGTGGGG